TATTGCTCTTTGACTAGAACAGCATACTGTGATGGCCATTGCGATAGACCAGCGGCCAAACACTTTTTGGAACATAATCACCAACTACCTATGCTCAAATTTGTGGCCATTGACCACATTTTCCCTTAAAAAGAGGAGGTAACCATTTAAATGTCCTATTGCAATGTAAAGCATTCTAGTTAAGAAAATTGGAAACTATAGCCCCCAGTGGCTTGAATGATAAAATGTTTTATGTACTCTTTATTTTATAAATATCACCCTCAGGACGCAGGACGGTTCAGGACCATCCTCAGCATTTTTGCGTTGCCGACCGAGGACGATCCTGAACCGTCCTAACGGAAAACGGGCGGCGGGAGTGATCAGAGATCACTTCTGCCGAAATCCTGTTGTTACTATCTGCCCGGCATCCCAGGCAGATAGTAACAGCCAATTGCGGCATGTGAGCGATCCGCGATCGCTCACAATTGGCTGGTGTCAAAGTGGGTGTTACAAACACTCACTTTGACACTGATCTCTGCCCCTCTCTCCTCTGTAGCGTTTTGTGAGGGGAGAGAGACAGAGATCGTGATAGTTTGTTGCAGCAGGTGCAGGTGTTTGTTGTACCAGAGAGTATTAAAAAGTATCAGCAGTTAATAAAAAATCCCCTTTAACCCCTTCCCTGCCAGATCTGTTACAGACAGTGCATTTGTACTGTGGCTATTTTTTTTTTGCCCTTAAGGGTTAACTTTATTTTAAAAAATTTGTGTCTTAGACTGTCTTAGATGGTCTTAGTCTGTCTTAGTCTGTCGTAGTCAGTCAGTTTCCTTCCCCCAAATCTCCATTAGATTCTTCTAACAGGAGTTAGTTTAGGGATTACTGTTTGTCAGTTTTAGTGTAAAAAAAAACCAAACACATTTATTGTGTTTAGTATTTTGTTAGTTTAGTCTGTTAGTGTGAAACATGCAGCGCATGTACAGCTCGGAGGAGGCATATGCCTTCTTGGCGTCAGACTCTGACGCCACTGACACTGCGTCCGATTTTGACACAGGTCAGTTTAGCGGCACGTCTAGTGACATGTCATCTGTGTGTGAGCCAGCTGCTAAAAGAAGCTGTGCTTCCCCTGCTACCAAATTTGGAGAAGGACTGGGTACCTCCACAGTCAGCTGAGCCCAACATCCCCCCTCTTAGTGCCAACGCAGGCATTAATGTGAATGTGGTTGACTTCTCCCCTATACAATATATGGAGTTATTTTTAGGGGATACCATCTGGGAGGAGATTGTTTCCCAGACTAATTTATAAGCTAGCCAATTTATTGAGACCAATCCAGGTAGCTATACAGTCAGGGAGCATGCTTGGCATCGCACAGATGTCCCTGAACGTAAAACATTCTGGGCTCTTACCATGCTCATGGGGATAATAAAGAAGCCATCAATCCGCTCTTACTGGAGCACCAACCCAATTTGTTCGACTCCTATATACTCCCAAACAATGCCTAGACCAAGATATGAGCTGCTGCTGAGATACTTACATTTCAACGACAATACGCTCTGTCACCCCAGAGATCACCCCCAATATGATAAGCTACATAAAATACGCCCACTGGTAGACCATCTTCAGAACAGATTTTCTGAAGTTTATTCTCCCCAACAAAATGTATCTATTGATGAATCCTTTATGAAATATAAAGGGAGATTAGGGTTCAAACAGTATATCCCCTCAAAGCGGTCTAGGTATGGCATTAAAGTGTTCAAACTGTGCGAGAGCGAAAGTGGCTACACATTTGCCTTTCGTGTATATGAAGGGAAAGATGCTCAACTGAACCCTCCTGGCTGTCCTGACTCTCTGGGGACAAGTGGGAAACTTGTTTGGGACCTACTGATCCCCTTGTTCAGTAAGGGTTACCACCTTTATGTGGACAATTTTTACAGCAGTGTCCACTTGTTTAAAATTCTTTATAGTTTGCAGACACTGGCCTGTGGCACTGTAAGAAGAAATGCCAAGGATTTCCCCAGACCTCTCATAGAGGCCAAATTAAAAAAAAGGTGAATGCAAAGCTCTGCGCAAAGCTGAACTGCTTGCGCTAAAATTTAAGGACAGGAAGGATGTTCACATGCTAACAACCATCCATAACGAAGGCATGTCAGACATCACTGTCCGAGGCAGGGTACAGACTAAACCTGTTTGCATCAGGGCTTATAAAATGCACATGGGGGTGTTGATTTGGCTGATCAGCTGATGCAGCCATATCTTATCTTAAGAAAGACAAAAGCCTGGTATAAAAAGGTGGCTATCTACCTGTTGCAAGTAGCAACACATAATTCATTTTTACTCTTTAAAAAAATGAATCCAGGAAGAACCACCTATCTCCAATTTCAGCTCAAGCTGATTTCCACAATAATTTATGGAGATGGTCAAGTTCCAACAACGGTGCAAGAGGAGTCTAGACATTTTATTTTTAAGATACCGCCAACACCAAAAAAAAGAAATCCCCAGAAAGTTGCCGGGTCTGTTATGAAAAAGGGAAAAGGACAGACACCCCTTTTCACTGTCCCGATTGTCCTACAAAACCTGGACTGTGTATTGGAGCATGTTTTAAGGTCTACCACACAGAAAATACATTTTTATAATACTTGTTCCTGATTTATTTATTTTGTTTATTTTGAAAGCAGCAAATTTCTGTTAGTCAGTATCCTTCCCCCAAATCTCCAGTTAGATTCTTTTTGCAGGAGTTAGTTTACAAATTGCTGCTAACTGAAGTTTTAGTCTGCTTCTATCAGTTTTAGTCTGTTTTTAGTATAAAATAAAAAAAAATTGTGTGTTAGTAACTCTGTGTTAGTCAGACTCTGACGCCACTGACACTGCGTCCGATTTTGACCCAGGTCAGTTTTCTGATACATCTAGTGACATGTCATCTGTGTGTGAGCCGGCTGCAAAAATAAGCTGTGCTTTCTCTCCTACGCCGAATGTGGAGGAGGAACGGGTTTCTCCACAGTTAGCTGAGCCCTAAATCACCCCTTTTAGTGCCAAAACAGGCATTAATGTCAATGTGGATGACTTCTCCCCTATGCAATATATGGAGCTATTTTTAGGGGATACCATCTGGGAGGAGAATGCTCCCCAGACTAATTTATATACTACCCAATTTATTGATACCAATCCAGATAGCTATGCAGTCAGGGAGGAGTGTGCTTGGCATCCCACAGATGTCGCTGAACTTAAAAAATTCTGGGCTCTTAAAATTCTCATGGGGATTATAAAGAAGCCATCAATTCGCTCTTACTGGAGCACCAACCCAATCTGTTCTAGTCCAGTGTACTCTCAAACCATGTCTAGAACAAGATTTGAGCTGCTGCTGAGATACTTACATTTCAATGGCAATACCCTCTGTCACCCCAATATGATAGGCTTCATAAAATACACCCACTGGTAGACCATCTTCAGCACAAATTTACTGAAGTTTATACTCCTCAAAATTTTTTATCTATTGATGAATCGTTAATGAAATATAAAGGGAGATTAGGATTCAAACAATACATCCTCTCAAAGCGCTTTAGGTATGGTGTAAAATTCTACAAACTGTGCGAGAGCGAAAGTGGCTATACATTTGCCTTTCGTATATATGAGGGGAAAGATGGTCAACTGGACCCTCCTGGCTGTACTGAGTCTCTGGGGACAAGCGGGAAACTTGTTTTTGACTTACTGATCCCCTTGTTCAATAAGGGTTACCACCTTTATGTGGACAATTTTTATAGCATTGTCCGTTTGTTTCAAACTCTTTAGGGTTTCTAGATACTGGCCTGTGGCAGCGTGAGAAGATATGCCAAGGATTTCCCCAGACCTTTTATAGAGGCCAAATTAAAAAAAAGTGAATGTATAGGTCTGCACAAAGCTAAAGTGCTTGCAATAAAATTTAACGACAGGAAGGATGTTAATGTACTAATCACCATCCATAACGAAAGCATATCAGACGTCACTGTCCGAGGCAGAGTACAGACCAAACCTGTTTGCATCAGGGCTTATAAAATGCACATGGGGGTGTTGATTTGGCTGATCAGCTGATGCAGCCATATCTTATCTTAAGAAAGACAAGAGCCTGGTATAAAAAGGTGACTATCTACCTGATGCAAGTAGCAACACATAATTAATTTTTACTCTTTAAAAAAATGAATCCAGAAAGAACCACCTTTCTCCAATTTTAGTTCAAGCTGATTTCCACAATAATTTATGGAGATGGTCAAGTTCCAACAACGGTGCCAGAGGAGTCCAGACATTTTATTTTTAAGATACCGCCAACTGCAAAAAAAAACAAATCCCCTGAAATGTTGCTGGGTCTGTTATAAAAAAGGGAAAAGGACAGACACCCCTTTGCACTGTTTTTTTTCTTTTGAAAGCAGCAAATTTTAGTTAGTCAGTTTCCTTCCCCCAAATCTCCAGTTAGATTCTTTTTGTAGGAGTTAGTTTAGAGAATGCTGCTAAAGGTGCATTTGATACCTGCACATTTGGTTAAAAAAGTTTTATGGTAGCAACATATAACTGGCTGGCCAAAACCAGATGACGTGTGCATAGAAAGCAGAATTCAAAAATTACCACCATGCACATTCTCTGAAATGTTTTTAGCACAATGGTTGGGGCAAGGATGTGAAAACACCTCATATACAATACCCTGGAATGTCTACTTTATAAAAATATAAACTTTCATGATGTTAACATTAACGGGGGGATACAACAATATGCCAAACTGAAGATAGGCCAAGCATACCTATATATCAAGTTGAAAAACTGATATGTACAAGTCTTGATTGTGGCCTTTTAGCCCCCAAACAACCCAGCAAACCTATGCATGGGTGATATCACTGTGGGGTGTTGTTTGGCAGTGATACATAACAGGATCTGTTAATTCATGCCTAAAGTACAATGTATGTGTAAAAAAACACAAAGAAAATTACTACCCAAAAGTTTGCCAAAGGCTGGTGGTAGAATTATTGCATGAAAAGTATTAAACTACCACCATTTAAAATACCCTGAGTTGTCTACTTTTCAAAAATATATGGTTTGATGGGGGTAAAATACATTGGCCCAAATAGGACAGGGGCACCGGTTTACTACATGTCAAAATTCCAAGTTGAAAAATGGATATGCGCACCTGCCAAATGTGGCCTTTTAGCCCCCAAACAACTCGATAAGCCTATGCATGGGTGGTATCACTGTACTCAGGAGATGTTGCTGAACACATATTGGGGTGTTGTTTGGCAGTGACACATAACACAATCTGTTAATTCATGCCTAAAATGCAATGTGTGTGAAAAAAACACACAAAAAAGTACTACCTAAACGTTTGCCAAAGTCTGGTGGTAGAATCAGTGCATGGAAAGTGTTAAAAAACCACCATTTGAAATACCCTAGGGTGTCTACTTTCCAAAAATATATGCTTTGGTGGGGGTAAAATACATTGGCCGGCCTTACAAATGTCCCAAATAGGACATGTGCGCAGGTTGACTACATGTCAAAATTCCAAGTTGGAAAATGGATATGCGCACCTGCCAAATGTGGCCTTTTAGCCGCCAAACAACTCAACAAGCCTATGCATGGGTGGTATCACTGTACTCTGGAGATGTTGCTGAACATATATTAGTGTGTTTTTTTGCAGCAAGACATAACAGGATCTGTAAGTTTATACCTGAATTGCAATGTATGTGACAAGAAAACTACCTATGCGAAGTTTGGCAAAGACTGGTGGTAAAATGGCTGCATTGAAAGTGTCAAAATATCCCGGGTGTCTACTTTAAAAAAAATGTATAAATGTGGAGTGTTTTCCACATATTTATGACAGATAATTGTGTTACAATGTCACTATTGATAAATTTTAAAAATGTTTGTTTTGAAACCGCCATATTCTACTTGTACCTATAGCCCTATAACTTGCAAAAAAAAAGCAAAAAAGCAGGTAAACTCTGGGTATTTTTAAACTCAGGACAAAATTTTGAATCTATTTACCAGTTTTTTTCATTTGCTTTTGTAGATGAGAAAAAGATTTTCCAAGTTAAAGTAAAAAATTTTTTTATTTTTTTCAATTTTTCATCATATTTTTTCATTTTTTTTTAAATTAAATTACATGAGATTATATAAATAATGGTATGTAAAGAAAGCCCCTTTTGTCCTGAAAACAACAATATATAATTTGTATGGGAACAGTAAATGAGAGAGCGGAAAATTACAGCTAAACACAAACACCAGAAAAGTGTATAAAGAGGCCTGGTCGCAAATGTACAACATCGCAAAAACAGTCCAGTCCTTAAGGGGTTATAGGAGGGGGACTCTGAGTTGGAATTTGTGGCCTTTTCCTACATTTTCCTGTATCACAATGTTAAAAATGGTTGTCTGGTCATGGTCTACATATATTTATTGTGGATTTTCTTTTGTGTTGAGGACATTCTCTGATGATCTCTATACGTTTTTGCTTTTAGGAATTGGTTTTCCAACCTCCTACCTAATACTGTTAGCACACTAGACAGGAATAATTTTTCCTTATTTGTTTTCTTTTTAAATATTTGTGTGCAAAAAAAACTTTCCTTGTTACAAATTTTGCCTGGGGAGTCACACTTTTTTTATGGGCACATTAGACTTTTCCCAATGGTCATCAAGAAGTATACTCCTTAGTGGATGAACACCATTTTTATAAAGCCACTAGTGTTTCTTTGAGATTGTATTCTAATTCCAGCCTCACACTGGGGCTTGTCCAATTGGCCCCTCCCACTTTTTACTTGCTCCTTGCCTTCTGGTAGCTTGTTATTAAACAGTTCTGTGGTGTAGGTGTAGACTAGGTCAGTCTGAGATGCAGTGGCGGATCCAGAGCCTGATCTCGGGAGGGGCACTTGTAGATTATTTAAAGAAATAATCCAGACACAATAACCACTACAGCTCAGTGTAGTGGTTATGGTGTCAATAGTGCCGGGACCCCCTCCCACAGTAAGTAGTCAAACCGTTTAAGAACAGTTTGACAACTTACCTGAGATCTGCTGGGAATGGGGCTGTAGTAGGGCATAGGAGCAGTGGTGTGTGTGAGTGGTGCAATGTGTAAGGGGTGCAGTGTGTGAGTGAGGGTGGCAGTGTATGTCAGGGATGCAGTGTATGTGTGGGACAGTATGTGTGTGTAACAGTTGCAGTGTGTGTGTATGGGGGGCAGTATGTGTGTATGGGGGGCAGTATGTGTGTATGTGGGAGCAGTGTGTGTATGTGGGAGCAGTGTGTGTATGTGGGGGCAGTGCGTGTGTATGAGGGGCAGCTTGTGTGTATGAGGGGCAGCTTGTGTGTATGGGGGCAGTTTGTGTGTGTATGGGGG